CCCCCCCCCCCCCCCCCCGCCCCCCACAATCCCCTGTTGGCAATACATGAAAAGTATTTTATTTTAAATCTGACTTTTGCCATGTTTGCTTTGTAAGAGTGTAAGCATTGATTTGATTTTATTGAATATTTAATTTTAAGTAGGTTTTGTTCATTATGACCATGCATGTAGACTGGCTAAAACAACCATTACACAGCCTAAGATCAAAACCAGGAAAACACAGGATGTTAGGGAAAAAAAAGTGGAGAGCACAATCACTCAAAAAACATCCCCTACAAAATGTTACAGTGTGTTGGTACCTAGGAAGTAAGGTCACAACAGTGTCCCTACAAAATGTTACAGTGTGTAAGTACCAAGGAAGTAAGGTCACAACAGTGTCCCTACAAAATGTTACAGTGTGTAAGTACCTAGGAAGTAAGGTCACAACAGTGTCCTTACAAAATGTTACAGTGTGTAGGTACCTAGGAAGTAAGGTCACAACAGTGTCCCTACAAAATGTTACAGAGTGTAAGTACCTAGGAAGTAAGGTCACAACAGTGTCCCTACAAAATGTTACAGAGTGTAAGTACCTAGGCAGTAAGGACACAACAGGTTGTGATTGTGACAATGAAAGCAAATGTGATCAAAGCCCATCAGATTTTAAGGATTCACTAATCCATATAAAAGATCAATCCTTCCAAGCCATGGCAAGAATCTTTTTAAAGAAATTCCCATGTCTTATCATCCTGTATACTGAAGACCACTGGAACATTAAAATGGGGGCTAGAATTTAACCAGCCTATTGCCTATGAAGCTCCCATTTATTTATTTATTTATTTAGGCATTTTTATATAGCGCTTACCTTAAAGCTCTAAGCGCTTTACAATTATTAAAAACATGTAAACTAAGTAAAATAAAAATGAGACACTAGGATAGTAACTACTATACTTTAGAAACAATTAAAATGGCTATAAAACAAGGACACTTTGTCCCATACAATAATCTCACCAAAGACATGGCAATTAAGAACTGAAATGCTCATCAAGAGTAACAACCAGTGTTGGCATAAACACATGAATTAAAAGCAGATAATCACTGGAGACAGTTTGGTTATATCCGTAGAATACCACCAAGCTCACTCACAATGCTAGGTTGGATAGAACATGGACTCACAATGCTAGGTTGGATAGAACATGGAACACAAAACTATCTGCAAAATTATGAAGACCCAAAAAAAATGGAAGAGGCAGTCAATGGCCAAAAGTAGCAATCTTTGACCAGCAAATGATTGTCATTCAAGTCATTAAAAGCCATCTCATCAGACTGGCAGAGGGGATAGATTGCATAATTGGTCAGTATGGTTGTTATGAAATATGCATATGAGGATTACAATTTTTTATAATTCCCTGACAATTTCACACATGAATTAATCAGTGCAACGGTTCTCAAACTTGTTATGTCGGTGACCCCTTGCTAGCATTTGGAATGCTGTTGCAACCCACATCCATTTTTCAATTTAAAATGAAAGGTGTTACAAATAAGGGTGTCCCTAGCCACAGGGTGAGAACCGCTGAATTAGAGTAATACTCATACTTAAATATATATATCACTTTCAAATGTAATGAATGCAAATTATTTGGCTTCATTGAGCTCCTAATCGTGACTCTTAGATGTACCGAGACCCACAGAGTCCAGTGATCTTGTACTTAATGAGTCCCTCCAATGATCCTGTACTTGACGAGTCCCTCCTATGAGTCCCTCCAATGATCATGTACTTGTTCTTTCTGATTTAGTCATTCTGAAGGTTTAATTTTAATAAAAAGATTACATTTTAGATCAGAGTATGCAATTACAGTAACATGTGTTTTGCCTATTGATAACTTAATTTTGATTATTTATTTTACTGTTATGGAATTCTATAAGCAGCACAGCAAAAGTTATAGAGTAAATAATCTTAGTTTGAAGCCTACATGAAAAGATTTTTGATTGTTTTGTTAAACTTTTCATGTTATATTTTTACACTTGAAATTTGTTTTGTATTTTTAAGTGTAAATAATTTATTCTAAATAAAGATTTAAATTCACTTTAAACCCTGAAAGTTATTCAAAATAAAAAAATCAGACCTAAAGGTAGCTGGTGAGTTGCGTTAACTTTTGATAACACTGGTTGGTGCTGGTTGATCAATTCTTGGATTTCACTGTGGCTAGTGGTGGGTCCTCCAATTTGGGCGGCTGTGATTGCTTAAGGTGCATTCTATAGCTGAAGCGAGAAAACAATTTAAAGGCAATTAAAATTTCAAGAGATTAATATAGGTTTAAAAAACAGCATTAGAGTAGCTGGGTGGCCGAGCGGTCTAAACTGTCTCAAACGAAATAGCTGTTGGTCTGGAGTTCAATCCCCACCAAACCCATCCCAAGCAACCCGGGTGGATGGGGCTCGTTAGCCTTGGACGGCAACCTGTCTAAGAGAAGGCAAACTCTGAATTTAAAACCAGGAGCCAGAATGATCAACAAATTGATCGTGGGCACCTCAAATATAAGAAGAAGATGACATTTTAAATTCAAATATGTTAAAGATTCAACATGAACTCACATGGTACATTGTTCACCGTGATCAAGATTAGAGTCCACTTCAGACAAGAGTCCACTTCAGATATAGAGTGCTTATCTATATAGGCACGCCTTATAAGAACAGCTCCTTCTTGTATTAACTATTAGAAGAAATAAAAAGATTATACTAGAAAAACATTTTGGGACAAGATATTCTATATTTTAAAAGCTGTTAAATATTTGGTTGTGTTCATAGGCAGTTAGGAAGATGAGCTTCCTCCACAATAATTTTTAAAAGAAATGATTTCTTAATTTTGTCCCAATAAGTTTTGCCATGCAGACCTGTCCCATGGAGACCTGTGCCATGGAGACCTGTGCCATGCAGACCTGTGCCATGCAGACCTGTTTGTCCTCAAACTCCTAAACATACAGTTTATTTAATGTATGAAATAACAATGCGCATCGTGTGTCTATTGGGATAGAGTTAAGCTGGCGTCTAAAAAGGTAACTTCTAAAAGTAGATGGCCGATGTTGCTGTTGCTATCTGAGGTCATTTTGTTTTGAAAATTTGTATTTGCTATAGATATCAATTTATGCCGAGTGAATGTGCAGATCACATTATTACAGTATGTCAATGGTAAAAATAAAGTTACTGGTTAAATTTAACTTGATTCAAACTTGAAGTCAGATAAGCATAAAATAGAATTGATTGAAATGAGAATTAATTAAAAAATGATCACACCATTTAAAAAACCTATCAAGTAACTTGAGATTTATAATTTAGGAAAAGCTGATTTAAAAAAAAATAAGAATCAATATCCATTAAGTCTATTTCCCGCTAATATATTATAGTCTGATAACTAGCACAAGCTGTAAATGGATGAAAGGAAGAGGAGTGTTGGAACAAATCAGGGGTATTTAAAATTGTACAGCTGTTTTGTGTGTTCTAAAAATAGATGTCATTGGCCCTCTCAAACCCTATAAAATATGTCCAAATTTAGTGTCACAGTGCGGAATCGTTGAGAATGCATTCTCCATTTCTGCACTCACTGTGGTTAGCCAAACAATATAATTATGTCACACAATAATGCCATACAGCACCAAAGAAAACAAAAGTTCAAATTGTCACTAAGGCGACTACGCTAATACTACTGTGGTTGTGACAGGTCTTGGCACACAATCGTAAAAGACACCTCAAAATTGTACATTGTACAAAATCAAGAGTAAACAGGTCTGGCCATGGAATGAAAGAAGCTTTTCCATAAAGTTGAGTTAATGATTTAGCCAAAGAGGTCATTTACTTCTTATTTTCAGCAAAGTTCAAAGTTCAGCAAGGCTTTCTACTTCCACACTCATTCGTGACTAACCCATATGCTTACTACACTAGCAAAATTTAGATGATCAAACAAAGGGACAGATCGACAGAGAATTTATTGAAATTAATGTAGAAAGTAATTGTAATAGTCATAATTTTGAGAGTTGAAGATATATCTGGAAAAAAACTCTAAAAATACCGTTACACATCAGTAAATAATAATACTAGCAGGCTATGGTGACCGTGGTGACTGTCAGGGAAGTTTTGAAAATCCAGCCATAGTCAACTTCAAATATTATAATTAAAAGGTTATTCTCTTGATAAACTTATTTTTAATGTCATTATACCATTACATTCATTTTTACATTTAATAAAAATTTAAATAAAAATGAAATTGCTCGTATTATATTACATTTTATATATTTTTAACAAATTACATTTATATTTTAAAACGTAGTTATGCAGGAGTCTTAAATAGGTTAGGCAGGGATTGGTTAATAAAATATCATTTTATCTGCAATCATGAATGTAAATAACTTCTTGAATATATTAAATGTATAAATTGACAAGCAGAGCTACATATTAGGTATAGAAAACCCCATTTTTAAAAAGGTTACCTTCTGAGCTAAGAAGGCCTGGACCATCTGATTGGCTTTCTCGTCAAGACATTTCTCGTACTGCTTTCATTGCTGTTCACTTAGAGCTACATATTAGGTATAGAAAACCCCATTTTTAAAAAGGTTACCTTCTGAGCTAAGAAGGCCTGGACCATCTGATTGGCTTTCTCGTCAAGACATTTCTCGTACTGCTTTCATTGCTGTTCACTCTCATAGACAATGGAGCCGTTCTCTGCCTCCACCATCTTTAATCTCTCCATGAAAAGTCTTGCATCAGACCTGCCAGATAAACCAACAATGATGAGGGCCGTAGACTGGCATCATTGAATATTTAGTCAAATCTTAATACAAGTAATCAAGTCATAAACAGTTTTTGAGGGAGACATCAACAGTCTGACACACAGCCACTTGTTGAAAAAAAACTGGCTGTTTAAAAATCTATGCTGATGTTCCAATGAGGTCATGAGCAGACCTGCCAACCTGCCAAGAAAAAAAATCTGTAGGGGGGTTGCACGCAGGAGGAAAGTGGCGCCGCTGCCCCCCAGGGGAGGCGCCCCGTGAGGGGTGTTGGTTTAAAATCTATATACTAATGCACACCCCTTTTTTAGTAAATAAAGAAATAAAAAGTTACCTCCATTGTCTTTGAAGGGTCCATAGAACACCACAGAACATGAGGTAAACATTACTGGAAATGTTTATATACAGATATATACAGTACAGAACAGAATCCATTTAATTTACATGTACACACACACAGGCTGCTAAGACTCTTAGTCTTAGTAAGAGTTCAGTATTCCAGCATATCCCTAAAAGCCCTAGTGCACTAGTGATAGTGGCCTTCTTTGCACTTGTCCAACAGCTCTTTGCAGTTGATTTAAGTTACAAGCAAGTTAGAAAAAAGTATAAACTTTCATGCTTGCCCTTGTTTTATTGCAATTTTTCTTTACAATCTTCTAGCATTCTGTAAGTCTGGAAACATTATTAACATTTCTTTGACTCTGGCATTAAAAATAATCGGAGTTGGCTAGGGCTAGAGAAATATTTCCTTCACTTCAATTTTTATTAACATCATTGTACTCATCACTTTCAATAGATTTCACCAGTTAATTGAGAAAAGCTTTAACAAAAACCAAAAAAAAAAGGCGGATTATTTTTTAGCCTTGTAAAAAGGATGAATCGCGATAGGATCAATTGATGAATAAAGATTTGGAGATCACGGTTCAAGTTAGTGTCTACACGTAAGATGACCGGACAAATAGTGCGGAAGATATTCATCCGGCGGACATGCCACGCTTTATAAAAAAACATCGTCAATTTTTAACCAATCGTTTCTTTTTTATAATTGAACATATTTCTTTTTCTATTTCTTTTTCATGTAAATGCCCACACTATCTTGAATTTGTTGAAATGAAGTACCGTAAACTCTGATCGATAATTAGCGGTCACATGAAAAGGCTGACGGACAAATATCTCGCGCAACTCTGTTACGGTGGNGGATCAATTGATGAATAAAGATTTGGAGATCACGGTTCAAGTTAGTGTCTACACGTAAGATGACCGGACAAATAGTGCGGAAGATATTCATCCGGCGGACATGCCACGCTTTATAAAAAAACATCGTCAATTTTTAACCAATCGTTTCTTTTTTATAATTGAACATATTTCTTTTTCTATTTCTTTTTCATGTAAATGCCCACACTATCTTGAATTTGTTGAAATGAAGTACCGTAAACTCTGATCGGTAATTAGCGGTCACATGAAAAGGCTGACGGACAAATATCTCGCGCAACTCTGTTACGGTGGTCATGTGACTTGGTCGAATAAACACTAGCCGGACGAATATTCCGAGAATTTATTCACTTATTCACCCGGTCGCCGGACATGTAGACACTTCGTAAAAACAAATGAAACACTTCCTGTCGTACTCGATTTAAACAAAAAATAATAATTTTTATCTCTTTCGGATTTTTATGAAGGGTGAAAAATTATAAAGTTCGAAAAATCGGAATTTTATGGGGTTTGTCGGAATGAGGGGTAAAAATCTGTATAATTCAGACAAAATCGGAAGGTTTGGCAGGTCTGCATGAGGTTTGAGTAAATTTTTTTTTTTAGAAAGTAAATAAAAATTATTGTATGAAAAAATATCTTGACCAACATTTGGCTTATCGTGTAATTATTAAATAATAATCTAAATTATATCATTATTATCAAATTAAAATGAATTATGTATATGCAATGTGAACAAATTAAAAGGCATTATTTATATGCAATGTGAAATTTATATGTTTTTTGTCAAACAGACAAAGTGTTTGTCTGATGAATTTAGTTTTGGGAAAACTTAATAAAAATTTATTAATTTTAAAAAATTATTTCTTGCTTGCTAAGCCAATCCATGCCAAAATTCCATCTCCTCAATCTTCTTTATTTGATTGCTCAGCATCATGTAATCTCTCTCTAGCATGCTGGGGTGGCTGCAGTACATTTGAAGATTCTGTGGTGAGGTAGAAACAAAACAGTGGGATCAGTTTATAACCAAGTTTCTACGGACTAAAAAACTGGTAACAGCATAGTCTAAAAAGTTTCTACGGACTAAAAAACTGGTAACAGCATAGTCTAAAAAAAATATTTAAAAATCAGTCCGCCTTCAAAGTATATTTTATTTTTGACACTTTACTAGCATTACTAGTCAGTGCAATTTTAAGGCATTGGCAGTTGCCCAGGCCCTCATGCTTCTAAATTCTAGGGGTACTTTGACATAAATTTAATATTATCCTATTGCAAGAAATGATAAATCCTTTTGAAAGGCCAGCTGTAAGCTTCGTAAAGACACCAGTTTCATCTTTCTATATTTTATAGAAATAACGTTATGAACTTTTTGGTGGCTTTTCTCAACCCCCTTATTTATCTTTGTATTTAAGGACAAAAATTGTGACCAACTTTCCTAATTATTTTATCCACAACTTTTTTTTTCTAAAAAATAATGGTACCAGATTTTCAGGGGACTTTACCAATGCAATATAACCCAATGAACAACAGAGCTTTTACATAATATATCAAGACTTTGAATTTTAGATAATTAATTTGAGGGCATGTTCAAAAAAGGGATCAGTAAAATTAGAAAAATTATTATTTATAAAGGAAAAAAACAACCAAAAATCATGTTTATAGTATTTTAATTAATTATATGCTTCAATTCTAATCTTTATAAAAGGTAAGGTATGTAGAAGTTTAAAAAATATAAATAAAATTGAATGCTTAAGATTATTGTGAAGTTAACCAAGTTTTGTTAAAAGTAAGTGTTTAGATTTTCAAATTTTATTATTCAATGTATTTGTCACTGGTTGAGAAAAAAACAACTTTTTAAATCGAAAAAATCTTTTAAACCTAGGGATTTAGAGAAAATGTTGTCCAAAAGTATATATATCAAAGAGCTTTATAAAAACTCTTCCTTGCATTTTTGCTCAGGAGCCTTCGGTGTCCTCAATTTCTGCTCTGTCCCTGATCAAAGTGACAAATGATCAATAAATTGATCGTGGGCCCTTAAGATATAGAAGAAGAAGAAGAAGACTGTGCTGGCAATGTAATTTTAATAACTACAAAGAAGCACGAAATTTTAGTTGTTAATAATGTTAATGATTGAAACTATCGGAAAGAAACACTGGTCATAAGATGATAAAAGGAAAAGACATAGGCATAGGCCAACCAGGGTAGTTAATGATTTTCCTAACAAGTCTAAATTAAGAATACTGGTACTACGGGATAGAGAGGGGGTGGGCGATAGGTTAGAGAGAAATTAGGCATGCACCTATAACGACTAGTGCACTTCTTTGGCCCATGGGTCTCGTTTGCTGTTTTATGTCATGTTACTTTAATAATAGATTTCGTTCCATGCAGCAAACAACCTTAATATGCAACACTATTCTTTATCATATGTTATGTGTCATTTTTACATTGAAAGGCATTGCATTAAAATTAAACATTGAAAATGTACATTTTTTCAACCAGATGCAACGAATGTAATATTAAAGTTGAAAAACATTCTAAAACTAAGAGAAAGCAAGATAAAATGGTAAATAACATTAATAACATAGTTAGTTTTAATAAAAATAACATAAACAAAAGTATTTAATATTGTAATAAAATCTTTAAATTGCAATCTTCATTATAGCAAATGTTCATAAATTGAGAACTTCATGTATAAAAATATTTTTTTTTTCATCTTGTTCCCAGGCCAAGGTAATTTTTGGATTTAAAAAAAAATATAACTTTTAAAAGAAACCATAAAAACAAATTTTACTCCAAATGACCCAGTGCACCCAACTTATTAAAAATGCATTGTTTGTTGTTGTTTAATAGTATAGTCATCTTTCTGGTCATTTCAACCTTCCTTTTTTTTTTCTCCCTTAAGCTTTGACTTGATTTTCTAAATTCGCCTAAACATTTTTTATTCCACTAGCATGTAAGACAGGTTGAGAAGGTTATTTCTATGCCAAATTTCACTAAAACACATTGTCAAGGATTGAAACCTAGATTACTCTCTCTGAATCACCATGGCTCTGCCATTCAGACAGTAAGTGTTGTTTTTTTTCTTCACTTTTGCATATTGTTATTGTTTTATTACTACATGAATATGGATGTTTAAGAAAAAATAAATTATTTAGAATATATAATCATAGAATTATTGAACAAAACCATCAATTTATTCATATTTAAATCCTGGGTTACAATAAAATGTTAGCTGTGACAACATTTTCAATGTGCATTAATTAGTTCATAAAGATCTCTCTTAGTCATTTGGAATTAAACTCATATTTTAATGAGAGATATAGTAGTCCCTTACTTGCATTTTCACAACAAATATTTTGATTTTTTTTCTCTTCTCCCCCTCCCACACCTCTTTCCTCAGAATGAAACAGAAGAAAAGGAGCATTTTCTTGGATAAGCAATAAGGCTATTGAAAATTTTTCAGAACCTTCAACAATGGCAAATTTCTGCACTGTAGGGTTGGTGGTCTCTTCCTACTGGGTTCTGTCAACAACATTAGTGTTTGTCAACAAACAGCTTGTCAGTGGGACTGGCATAGAACTTGACTTGTCCATCTTCATTGTGTGGTTTCAATGCATTTTCGGGGTCCTCTTCCTGTCATCAGCAGGCTGGCTGGCCAGAAAGCTACAAATACCTTGGCACGACCTCGCTAACCTTAAGCTGGACTTAAGGAAGTTAGCCAACTGGGGTTCTCTGACTTCATCTGCAGCTTTTATTACGTCATTAATATTCAACAGCTTGCTATTGAAATACATTAGTGTTTCCTTCTATCAGATAGCACGCTCCCTGACAATTATTTTCGTTATATTACTAAGCTCTGTTCTACTTCATGAGAAAGTGCTGTTTGGAATATTAATAGCTTGTGCATTTATTATATCAGGGTTCTACATCGGTGTGCATGAGGAAGTGTTGGTCAATGGAGTTCAAACAAGAGGTATTGTTTATGGAGCTGTGACAAGCTTGTTTGCAGCTCTGTCGTCAACATTATGCAAGGTGCTCCAGAGGCAGGGCAGGACATCATCCCTGCAGTTCACCTATAATGTTTTTGTCATTGGCAGCTTAGCTCTGTCTGCGGTGGTCTTGTTGACGTCACAGATCCAGTATGTTTTGACGTCGTCTGTGTCGACCGACACAACATTTTGGTGCCTGATGTTCCTGTCTGGCTTCTCCTGTCTCCTGGTAGGGTGGATCAGCACGCTGCAGATAAGCCTGACGTCACCTCTCACATACATAGTCAGCACTAACTCCAAGTCTGTGTTTCAAACTGTGCTGGCAGTTGTGTGGAACAGTGAAATCCGCAGCTGGTTGTGGTGGGTGGGTAACGGCCTGGTGATCGTTGGTATTGTTGGTTACACAGCCATAAAACTGAGGAGCGAGCAGAAAAAGATCAACATGGATATTGTGGTGGAGGAGCCGAAGACTGATCCTACCGTCAGGGAGTTTGTGGGGGAAAGTCGCTCTGCTGGGAAGAGAGCAGTAGCAAAACTCAGTGCCTAAGAAACAACTTCTGTGATGTAAGCTTAATTTATTCAATTATTTGATAGTTTTAGTGACTGATATTGTGCTTGTTTTTTGATATGCCAGTTGTGTTTTTAAATTATTATTTTTTATCATTGTGTTGAATTGTATACTGTATATTATAGTTTGCGCATATAATCCAATCCATGTGTAATGCTAGCCCCTAAAATTCTATGTCCACGTATAATGCTATGTGTTAATTTTCTTCCAGATTAATACAAATACAAATTTTTTAAAATAACCTTTTTTTTTTAAATGTCAAAATTCTTTAAATTATTATATTTAGAATTAGAATGACTTGTGGTCATTCATAGAAATACAACTATGCTTATAACTTGTCAAAAGGACGCTACTTATGTTACTGGTGTTATGCACAAATATGATGCATGCTTGGTCACTGCCTGAGAGTGGGCCAAGAAGATTTGGTTGCATAGGCATTAGTGTATATTGTTTACCAGAAATTAAATTTTTATTTACATGTGGGTGTAATGCCAACCCCTAGTTTTGAGTAGCACTATTTACAGACCTGTTTACTCTTAGGATTTTGGCGTACAATGTACGATTTTGAGGTGTATAAACTATATATGCTGCATGTTTATATTTTTACTATTAAGATAATGTATTGAACGATTTTGTGATAATATTGTACGATTTTAAGAGTTTGGGGGGTAAAAAGGTCTATTTTTATCCTAAATTTCTCACATTATCCTTGTTAATTTTCAGTAATTATTTTCATCAACATGAATATTTAACAATATTAATAAACTTGATATGGTTTAACTGAGTTTAAAATAGAAACAACCAATGTAAATAAATTAACCCATGGTTGCAAAACATTTTCTTGCAAATCCAATTTACTTTGTACAAATAGTAGAATACCTCCCTGAATCTGGCCAAAATAGTGGGGAAACTGATTTAGGTACAACTATTTTCAGTTTATTTTAAAATAATGTTTCATATTTCAAGATCCCATTTTTCAATGCTCCATAATATTTTTCAGGAATTACAAATTAATTTACTGCTGACTATAATGAAACTTAAGCTAGTAGCTTCCTCCTTAAATTTGTGTAAAACGAGTTATACCTAAAATCTCATTTGGTTGTATTGAATTGCCTCAGAATACTCTAGCAGAGCACAACCTACTGCAAGTCTCTTGTCATTATGGCTGGGCTTGTGTGTTCAAGATTTTCCTTCATGTCTCTCATTTATGCTTTGTCTTTAGGTTATCAAGAATAGTTTTTTTTTGTTTTTTTTTAAATACATTATTTTCAATAGCAGACCAGAAGAATAATAAAGGGATTACCACAATGCATCTTATAAGTTAGACTTATAGGTTAAATTGGGTTTTTAGCATGCTGAATGAGTAAGAAAATTATTTGACCTATTATAAACCAAATTGTTTACTCTTATGTAAATGCAATGTATTTAACACAAGCATCAATGGAAAGCATGAATTTTTTTAAAGATGAAAATGGACTTTTTTCTTATTTTGATCTCTGAATTTATTTTATTGATCTCAACATAAAGTAATGTCACTTTTAAAGGGAGTGGGATGTCATCCGGTGTTTATATTTTACAATTATTGTGGTTTTTTTTTGAAGGATGAAAGAAAGCAAGAGATGGAATTTTGTTATGCCTAGTTTTCTTTATTTAATTGAATTGTTTTGCGTTGATTAAAGTTCTAAAATTATTTGATCATTGTTGCTGTGGTTGAAATTATTTTTTGACAATTAAAAAAAAAAACACTGACCAAGTGTTTATTTAATCATAGCTCTCTCATAGATGAGAAACAGAAAACTGTTGTGTTGTGAAAATGTAAAAGGTAATCATATCCTCCATGGAATCCTGTTTTTTTTTTTTTTTCGTTTTCATTTTTACATTGAGATCTCTAAAGCAGCTGCCCTAATGGCAAAAGAAGAAATTAAGTCAAAATTATAGGATCTTTAAAGCAAATAAATATTTTGTGAAAATGTAAAAGGTAATCATATCCTCCATGGAATCCTGTTTTTTTTTTTTTGCGTTTTCATTTTTACATTGAGATCTCTAAAGCAGCTGCCCTCATGGCAAAAGAAGAAATTAAGTCAAACTTATAGGATCTTTAAAGCAAATAAATATTTATTTACTAGTCTGGATGTAGGCCTACAGGAAATTCTGCGGAAAAAGAAACCTGCCCTCACAGACAGCTCCCACGAGGCGATAGAAGTGACTTTCTTTTGCCATTGCCTCAAGTTCAAGCCCTAGTCTGTACACAACAAATAAATGAATTGCGAATATTTGTGTACACAAGGGGACCAACCGAGTTATGCACTATTGATGTGCGACTTCTGTACTTCTAAAATACATTCTGTCTATCGCTATTCAGCTGTTTAATTCATTTTAACCACCGCAGCCCATCAACTGATAAGCACCCAAGTGCCCACCGAAAAGGGTAACTAAATGACTTTCTTTGCCTAGAGAAAGGAAAGTTGACATGAACTTTTTAAGCCTTGAGAATGGAGTCTCACAATGTCCCACAAATTTAAGCCCATGTTACAATGCAATTTGATTGAATTAAATATTTTATATCATCTAAAATCTACACGAGCAACTGTTAAGTATGTTGGTACACACTATTAAAATAAACCTTTAGAAATGTCTACATTGCAATTTTAACAGTTTAGTCTTTTTCCTCTTGAAAGTTATCCCATGGTGGCATGCGATCTTTTGCCCCTTCAAAGGAAACACTACATTGTAATGAAACAAATCAATTTAATAAGTTTACCGCAATATTTTTAAGTTCATTAATATTTAACACCTCCAAACACTGGCTCATATTACTCGTAAGAATATTTACAAATACAAACGCATTTTATTAAAGTTTATTAAATGTAACAGTTAAATTCCAAGTTTTATTTATGCCACTCTAATGGCAAAATATGTAATTCTTCAAACAAATCATTTCTATGATGAAATTATATACGAGAGTAAAAATTATACTTCAATGTGTTAGTAATATTATAAGAAAGAAAACTAACGTGTATATTTCAAAATATTGTTTTTAAACTGCTTAAATAACCAAAATTAATATTTAAATTATTTCAAAGTTTAAATTACTGGATCATTATGACCTACGCGGTCTGCGACAGCTTTTAGGTTTAGGGGTAGATTTCGACATCCTGCGATTCTTCTGTGAGCAGCAGGCACTGGCATTTCTCCCCAGTTTCTTACTCCTTGGCACGCCATTTTTTTTGGATAACTTCTTTTTAGGATTCGACACGGAGGTTGTTCTGGACTTTTTCAATGCGCTTCCCTTCTTGGTCTTGGTGCCAACCTCCTTCTTGGCCGTGGCTCGTTTCCGAGAACTGCAGGATGAGCCACTGGTCTCGTCCGAGTAGTCAGAAGAGTCGGAGGAAGAGTAATCAGTTGGTGTCATGCAGTGGGAGCAGTCACAGTCTGATGAGCAGGTGCTGCACCAGCTATCAAAAGAATCTGTTTAAAAAAAATTAAAATAATTGTTACGTTAAAATAAAAAAAAACATCATTTTCACTTGGCTTTTTTATTAAAATTAATGTAATGGCTGTAAAATTATAATAAATATATGAGGAGTCCATTTGCAAACCCTGCTAAGTAACTTTTTTTGATTTAGAGAAAAATGAGTTTTTTAAAATTAATCTATATAGGGAATATAGCATTTATATATTTTGAAATGGTGAATTTTAAGACTTACATAGAGCTTTTTAATCATTAAATACACAAAACACTGTAGATTGACACTTAATTAACCTGCCAAGATAGATAACTCATTGATTTCAAAAAAGTGACTTTGCAGGTTTTGCATTGGACTCATATGAACACTCAAGGGAGCAGCGCTTGTGGTCTGTGTAATAACTAACTATTCTCCATCCTAAATTCTTTTTATATAGCCCACATAACATGACCACTCACTCCATTTACGAAACCAATATTCACATCCCATGACAGCACTCCAGTATCTAGCTAATATTCACATCACACAACCACTCCAACAGATATTCACATCCCATGACAGCACTCACTCCAGTATCTAGCCAATATTCACATCACACAACCACTCCACCTACGCAACTGATATTCACGTCACATGACCACTCACTCCAATTATCCAATCAATATTCATATCACATGACCACTCACTCCAGTTATCCAATCAATATTCACATCAGGTGACCACTCACTCCAGTAACCCAACCAATATTCACATCACACGACCACTCACTCCAGTTACCCAAACAATATTCTAAGTTTTAAATTTAAGTTTGGACATTCTTGAAAACAACTCATCAGTAGGTCAACATGACGACAATAAGGACATTGTAGAGTCACTCATTTCAGTCAGTAGGCCTAAACATTTCATTATCAGTCTAACAATATGACAATACAAATACTAATAAGACTAATACTGGACAAATAGAAACTCTTACTGTCACAGTGTAATATAAATATTTAGTTCACAAGTTACTGGTCGTATATCAATTTTAAATAACTATAATCAGATAAAGTTGTTATAATTTAAAAATTACTGAATTAATCATAATGTTTCTATTAATAAACAGCTAAACAGGTGTTGCTTGTATTACCTGAACTATCATCATAATAGCTGTCGTAAGAGCTGCTGCCGGTGTAAGAGCTGGTGTCGGAGTACGAGCTGGTGTCGGAGTATGAGCTGGTGTCGGAGTACGAGCTGGTGTCACTGACACTGTCGGTGTAAGGGCTGGAACTGTACGAGGAGCTGGATGCTCTTGAGATGATAATTCAGGAATCATTGGTAAAACTACGGTTAAACACGTTTTATGAATGAAAAAAGAAAAGTTGTGGATGATAAAAAGATCATTGATAAGGGGAGAGAAGAAGCTTACTGGCAAGGATTTACAAATGAAGGATTATATCCCTTGAATTTATATTGTTATATCTCACCACTACCCCCACCCCCCCCCCCCCCCGACACATCTCTCCCCCCCACCCCCACCCCACGGTGTTGATGACTGGAGTCACATTCTACCACCCTAAGGCCCCTTTAAATTATATGAAGTTACGATTGTTAAGTTAGAGCAGATGCTTCTGTGCAAATGGTCCCATGTTTGTAACTAGATCGTGAATATATTTGTGTCATGGGACAACTCACCGTCTTCGCGTTGAAATCTCGGGGCTTGATTCCGATCTGACGATTCTGACGAGAAATTTATAAAATAGGAAACGTGACTAGGATATGCAAGGATATTATTCTGATTATTAATTCGTTGAATTAAACTTCTTGTTTGTTTAATTTGTGGGACAGATAGACTATCTGCATCAGCAAAATGAGTTGTTTTTTTAATTAACAAAAAAATTAAATCTATTATCGACTGCAGATGGAGAACAAATTAAATCCCGTATTGTAACAACTGGCACAGTAATCAAAATGTGTGTTGATGAAGTGGAAAATTTTAAATTGGCATTCAATTTGCCAAACATTTACACAGCGGTTCTCAACGTGTGGGTCGTGATCCCTTTGGGGGGTCGAAAGACCCGTTTTACATGTTTCGCCTAAGAACCTTCGGAAAACACATATTTATGAAGTAGCAACGAAAATAATTATTTGGTTCGGTTTTACCATAACATGAAGAACTGTATTAAAGGGTCGGGGCATTAGGAAGTTTGAGATCCACTGAGTTAACACTTTATAACGCCTTCATTTTTTAAAAAAAAATTGATTATTTTATAGATACAGGATAAAATGTGAAATAAAATTTCCAACGTCCCCAAAAAATTGTTGTTCAGTTTCCTCCATCAAGTTTATAATTTAAATCCTGCACGAAACAGTGTACTTACTTTGGCTTGACCTGGGGTCTAACTGTAGGCTTGACGGCTGCGATCGGCCTGCGAGGTTTGTGTTTTTCTTGAGACTCCCGTGTGCTCGGCGCTTTCCTGGGAACAGCGGGTTTTTTTCATTCATGCATTGTTCAAAAAAAAAATTTAAATTTTTGTCTTCGTGTTATCTATGTAAAAACGCTTCCGAGCGTCCCAGTCAAGAACATACACAGTGGCGTAGGAAGGCGGTACGGAGGGGGGAGGTCCGCAGGGCCGGCCTTTAGGGTGTGCGACATGTGCCCTCGCACAGGGCGCCGTGGCCATAGGGGGAAATATTTCAATTCCCTTAGTTTATTATAGTGAAGTGTTAACCTCGAGTCTGGGGTCGAGAAACGGTATTCTAACTTTTCGTACATTCGCTTTTCATACAATGAGTTTTCATACAATAAAAGTTGCATTCTAAATGTGGATACTAACACTGGGGGAGGGGGGAGGGGTTTGGGACCAACCGAAAGGGCGTGGAAATTAGGGAATGGGGCGCCAAACGGGTGCTTCGCACAGGGCGAAAGTTTACCTAAGGCCGGCGTTGCGGTCCGCAATTTTCTAAAGAGTGCAAACACATTGACACCAATGATCCCTCTAAGGTTTGTTGGTTCGTGTGCAAAATCATACAGTTGTGTGCAAAGTCTTACAGCATCATTTTTTTTGTGTGCAAAATTTTACAGCCCACACAAACACTCACTTACATGGAAATTTGCTGCGCGGTACTCAAAAATGCTGCGCGGCGTCTCTGAGATAGCACCAAAGCAAATCTTACTTACTGGGACTTCTTGACAGGCAGCGCCGCCTTGGCTCTGACGCTCTTCTTCCCTGTGGATTTCACTGAAGCTGCCATCGTGGTGCTTCAAAGCGGCATCAGGTATGTTTAACAATCCAGAGGGCGCTGCAACAAAAAAAACAACAATAACAACGGATCTATTAATGAGGATGACCAAAAAACAAACTGACCATTCAAATAGTATGAATGGCGTACACACGACATGTACACACACTAAATGGCTTCACGTTTGGACAGCGTCTGGGTCCTGTCTATCCACAAGGTAGTTAAAGTCATGTGTACTTTGAGATGTGCTCATGGCCGAATCAAAACAGTGTTGATTATGATACAAATATAACCACATCTTGATTTCGACTCATTCTTGTAACGACAAAAGTGAATGAGCTCAAGTTTTGTGCCGTCCGGTGCTGACTACCCCTTCTCCCACCCCTTCTTCCACTCACACTCCGTCTCCCACCCGTCTCCCACTCTAAAACCTTCTCCCACTCTAAAACCTTCTCCCACACCCACCACTCTCCACCTAACACCCCCTTCTCCCACCCACCTCTCCCACTCTTAAACCTTCTCCCACCCCCACCACTCTCCAACTAACACCCCCTTCTCCCACCCCAAATCCTTCTCCCACCCACCTCTCCTACTCCCATCTTTTTTTAAAAAGTGGGATGTGCGTTTATATTTTTGACGAGTGATTAAAACCTCTTTTTTGGTCACGATTTGTGGGAGTGGAGCCAAAAGATCAGCAACATTAGGTTAGCAAAGTGGCATTGGAATGGGGGTAGCGGAGGGGCCCCTGGCGGCATTTTTTTCTTTACTTATAAGGGTAGACAGCCATTTTTGGTCAACTGAATTTTTCTTCACCGAAGGAGGCGGCAACACTGTTCCTTCAGGTGCCTTAAAGCGTTGCCCCCTCCCCCCCCCCCTTTATAACTACGTAGTGCGCCGGGTCCTGAAACATGCGCTTCTATAAAATACTCGCGTTCAATGCACGGCCTCCACGTCTCACTTTCAGGTGCCTTAAAGCCTTGCCCCCCCCCCCCCCCCCCTTTATAACTACGTAGTGCGCCGGGTCCTGAAACATGCGCTTCTATAAAATACTCGCGTTCAATGCACGGCCTCCACGTCTCACTCTCTACCCAACTCCCGGTGGCGGTCATCAGAGCAAGTAGACTGACTGGGCAAGACATCATGGCCTTCAGTCAGTGGTGTGCTGCCATAGGAACAGCAACTGGTTGGGCACCCCCCACCCCCCCAACACACTTTAAAAAAAATTAAATTAAAAAAAAAAATTTGTATTATTTTGAGATTTAAAAAAATGGGGTTCGGTGCTTTCAGATCTCGAGCCACCTGGTGGCCGAGCGGGAAAACTGAACAGAGGCGTAAGCGAGGGTGTTTGGCGCCCGGGGACAAGATTCATTTTAAAGCGCCCCCTTTTTCTTTTTTTTTTTCAACTCTCAAACCCATTATTTTTATCAATAAAATAATATCAAAGCACATTTTGCCGTCCCTAACTTGCTGGCGCCCGGGGACATCTGCCCCCCCCCAGGAACCCCCTCGCTGCGCCTCTGAAACTGAGTCAATCCCCAGCAAAAAGCAGAGATTAGCACAAAAAAACACCTGTTTCCCAGGTGGATGGGACACGTTAACCTTGGATGGCGACTGATCGAAGAGAAGGCAAATCTGATCTCAAAAACCCGGAGATGGAGTCCCGTAGGCGGTACGACATTGACACAAAGAAAATTCCGGCAACTCCTGCGACAGGGAACGCATAAAGAGAAACGGTGAAACAAACAAAAAAATCTCTACGGGTCATCTGCTACATCATGGGCTATTTCCAGTTGTATTGACTCATTCTTTTCATTGGATCAAATAGACAATGAAGAGAGAGAGAGGGAGGCTGGCGAATCGAGCAGCTCTCCCTCACAAAGTACAGCTCAAGTCGAACATTGCTTTGGTCATCCTCGCATGCGAATGATGAACAATACAATAATAAAAATAATACCCACCTGCCGCGTTTGCTAAGCACCACGTCCTTGAGGTCTCTAATCTCTCGCCAATTGGTACATTTGGGCAAGTAGGCTAAGCACCACGGCCTTCAGGTCTCTACTCACTTGCCAGGGGTACATTTGGGCAAGTAGGCTAAGCACTATGGCCTTCAGGTCTCTAATCACTTGCAAGGGGTGCATTTGGGCAAGTAGGCTATGCAGAAAATATACCCTCTTGTAGCCTTACCCGTTTTTAATAAGGGGCCCCTGATGACTGATATGAGCCTAGCTTAACAGGATTCCTTCGATCATCCGGTATCTGTAAGTGTAACGGAACTTTTAGAGCATGGGCTCTCGGTTAATTTTGGTTCACAGAGTCTTAAGGAAAAATAAAATTTGGACGCATAGACCATTCAGACAAATTGAACACAGTCCATCTATTCGTGGACCTTTGTGGACACAGATCAACTATACCAGAGGTTCTTAACCTGTGGTCCCCTTTCCCCCACACCTACCCACTCTCCCACACCACTTTTGGGGTCATTGAAAAGGTGTCAGGGATCAGTGATGTTATTTATCTGACCGGCGAAGGTGTCCATTGGGGCAAAACAAGGTTAAGATCCCCTGAACTAGACATATGGATTGTCTAGATGCCACGTGACTCAGAGGCTGAAACTTGAAGACACGTGACTTGCCCGATGTAACTGAAACGCTCGAAATTACAATTTAACCCCATAAAAAAAGTGTGTGTGTGTGTGTGAGAGGAGGGGGAGGGGGTGTAAAAAAACCTTACAAGTATCATTGATTATATCAGGGCCAAAATTTTATTTTTTATTTTTCAAATCACCATTGTATACTGCCGCCTCACACAAGTCAGAACTGAAACGAGAATGGGATGCAGGGTAATCAGAGGTGAACAGTACATTATAAGATGTATTCATTGTTCTTCCGATACATGGTTAAATGACATATTTCTATTGTGCAAAGCTGAGCGGTCATCGTGCACATGGGGGGACCATAGCACTACAGCAGGTAAACAAGAGGCATAGTGTTATCACATCTTGCATTTGTACCATAGCACTTCATCAGATAGACAGAGTGTTATCACATCTTGCATTTGTACCACAGCACTTCATCAGATACACAGAGTGTTATCACATCTTGCAGACACTTTGTACCATAGCGCTTCATCAGACAGAGACATAGTGCTATCACATCTTGCAGACACTTGTACCATGGCACTACATCATGTAAACAAGAGACATAGTGTTATCACATCTTGCATTTGTACCAAAGCACTTCATTAGACAGAGACATAGAGTTATCACCTCTTGCAGACACTTGTACCATGGCACTACATCATGTAAACAAGAGACATAGTGTTATCACATCTTGCATTTGTACCAAAGCACTTCATCAGACAGAGACACAGTGTTATCACATCTTGCACACACTTGTACGAAAGCACGTAATCAGGTAGAAAGAGAAATTATAAAAAAAACTGACATCGGCGTGGAATTATCAAACACCACGCCAGGATGGCATCAAGCAGTTAACATAGTAAACACATCATTTTTGGCCTATGGGCCTATTATTTTGTTCCTCTTAATTCTTGCAATAGAGCTCTAGCACAGTAGCTTCCCCTACAATCATGACTGACCAAATTATCTTTCTTAAAATTCATTCAACCATAAAAGTCCTACTGCCATCAAGTTTTACCTTTACAAGCAAGTTACATACTATTTTATTACAACATGACTTTAAAACAGGGGTGGGCAAACTATGGCTCGGGGGGAAAACTATGGCTCGGGGGGCAAACTATGGCTGGGGAGTCAAATGAGGCGCGATTTGATCGGCTCACGCTCCCTTAAAAAAAAATTAAATAATTAAAATAATCATAAAAATGAAAAAGAAACCAAACAAATGAACGAGTAATTTAAATTTTCCATTTCCATTGCAGATGCCACTACTATATCGGGGTTGTTTCACTTTTCTGGTGAAATCCCAATTTTCTGGGGATTTTCTTCTTCTTGTGGCGTCACGTTTTTTTTTCCCCGGACGTGACTGAAATTTTGTGATGAACACCAAATATTATTTCAGTGTTTTATTGATTGAACACATTCTATTTTTTGGGTCAATCAATTATACAATTATACTATAATTGTTACAGAATATAGTTAATTATTCTTATTTATTTATGCATAATATAGTAAATTAAAATAATAAATTCCCTATGATTTGGGTATAACGCCCCCCCCCCCCCCCCCCCTCAATGCTTTCACCATTTATGGCTCCCACGCCTCTGTTATATCTCTTGAATTGGGTTGCAGCTACAAAAGTTTGCCTACCCCTGCTTTGAAATAAAATAACAATTTTAAAAGAAATTCCCTAATGAGTTAGTGATTTTAACACAGTACCCTTGGAATTTCAATAACTTTTTTTTTTTTTTTAAATGATGCAAAAATTTGATTTTTTTTTTTTTCCAATGTTCAACCAAAGATAAAGAAATAAATGATAAAAAAATAGAGAATGTAATTTTTTTTTAAAAATAGCAAAAAGCAAAATGTTATGATACCCGATCAAAAAAAGAATGATTTTTTTTTTTTTTAAATGATGCAAAAATTTGATTTTTTTTTTTTTCCAATGTTCAACCAAAGATAAAGAAATAAATGATAAAAAAATAGAGAATGTAATTTTTTTTTAAAAATAGCAAAAAGCGAAATGTTCTGATAGCCGATCAAAATCAGAATGATATTTTTTTTTTCATTTTCAAAATTTTTTTTTTTTGGTTTAAAAAATATAATTAATCTAAAAAACAAATCAAAATGTAAAGAAAAGTAATGAGCATAGGGCACATGAAAGAACAAAACACACATTATTCAATTTTATTAAAAAATAATATTTTTAAAAAAATTTTGTTGTTAAAATTTTCTTTAAACATACCAAAAACATTTATTAAGCACAACAGTGGTCCCCAAACTGCAGCTGAATTTCCTTGGTGGGAAAGGGGGGCGGGGGAAAAAGGGGGGGGGGGGCGCAACACGAAATGTGGCAAAATGTTATTTTCAGTGGGACCTGTTCCTAACCAGTAGCTCACTTGAGAAATAACTGTTTTCCCCAAGTAAAGTGGTTTCTAGGATGGCACTCTGTGACGTTAAAGTTAAATATGTGTGTTATGTACTTTTATCGAACCCATCGATTCATTTTTTTTCTTATTTTTTTTTT